TGTCTGTCTGTGTCTGTGTGTCTGTGTGTGTGTGTCTGTGTGTCTGTCTGTCTGTGTGTGTGTGTGTGTGTGTGTGTGTGTCTGTGTGTTTCTGTGTGTGTGTGTGTGTGTGTGTGTGTGTGTGTGTGTGTGTGTGTGTGTCTGTGTCTGTGTGTGTTGTGTGTCTGTGTGTGTACCTGAGGAGAGAGGAAGCTTTGGATCCTGTAACAGAGGAAGGGTTTCTCTGTGTGTGTGTGTGTGTGTCTCTGTGTGTGTGTGTGTGTGTGTGTGTGTGTCTGTGTGTGTGTGTGTGTGTGTGTGTGTACCTGAGGAGAGAGGAAGCTTTGGATCCTGTAACAGAGGAAGGGTTTCTCTGTGTGTGTGTGTGTGTGTCTCTGTCTGTCTGTCTGTGTGTGTGTGTGTGTGTGTCTGTGTGTGTCTGTGTGTGTGTGTACCTGAGGAGAGAGGAAGCTTTGGATCCTGTAACAGAGGAAGGGTTTCTCCAGCACGCTGCTGACGGAGGGTCTCTCTCTCGGGCTGCGTCTGAACAGCAGGCCCAGCAGAGAGCGCAGGTCCTGGGAGTAATGCAGGGAGACGGGGGGGTAGGAGCCCCGGATGATCTTCAGAACCAGGTTCTTCATGTTGCCGGCCTCAAACTGAGCGGGGAAACACACGATGGTGACATGGGGAAATACTGAGGGCCATTAGAGGAACACAGTGAAGGAATAAGGTAGGGGTTATTCAGGGAGAGGGGGAGACATGAGAAGTGATTTTAAAGCAAAGAAAGTCTTCAAGTCAGTTTTTGTGGCCTTGGATTTAAGGACATGTTCTGCCTTTCTATGTTTTATATTATATTACAGCGAAGACCTTTGGGTTCTAACAAAACAAAAGACATTTAAAGACCGTTTTCACAATTTTCTTACATTTTATAAACCAGACGAATAATCTGGATGAGAATACACATTTTCAAAAGCTCCCCTAATCTGCAGAATCCACTTCTTGTCTTTTCTACATAAACATGTGTCCCTAAAATCATATATCACCTCCTTATTTCCTTTCTATGCAACATATATTTTACCACCTTAAATATCAGTGACTACATTTGAGATATGGGGGGGGGGTAATTCCCCTGGAAGTCTGATAAAAACAGGGCTAATGATTTCCAGTGTGAAACGGAGCAAACGCAGGGCTGATGTTTTTATAATTAAACAGCCCTGTGCTGAGGTTAAAGCTGGGTAAACAAGGTGTGTTTGCAACGGGATCAATAATCACAGGGCTGAGGACAGACGGTGTAAAGAACCCAGACTCAGCTAAACAACATGAATCCACACACACACACACACACACACACACACACACACACACACACACACACACACACACAGTACTTACTGCATGCTTAAGGGTGCACATTTCATACAGGACACACCCAAGGGCCCAAACATCACTGCAGAG